CCCGAGCTCTGCTGCGAGGAGATGGCAGCCTGCTCTCAGAGAGGAAATGACAATCGGGGGACCTCCTCCCTCCCTGCACAGGCGAAGGCCAACCTCTAGAATTTACACATTATGGATATTTCTTAAAAATACATCCTGCAGTGTGTGGATTTGGTGAGTGGTCCTTTTCATGAGTATATTTTAGAAGGTCCACGCATACGGAACATGTATCCGAACTTCATAGCTGTTTCTGGCTGGATGATGTCACCTTGTGTGGAAGGAGGATCTCTGCGCCTTGTGTGCGTGTGCAGAGACAGAAGTGACTGTCCACACCCAGCATTCAATAAACATCACCTCATGCGATGGTTGGTTTCCACACCATGGGGTAACACGGTCTCCGACTTCACTGTGGTTAAAATCCGTTTCAACTATGAACGCAGTCATTTGAGCTCTGTGACACTGTTTTGTCTAACGAAAGGGAACCTGCAACAGAGATCAGACCAATCTAGTGCCATGTCCGGCTGAATGGTGTCACCATGATGTAATGTCAGGGGATTTCAGACATGTGAGGACAGGCTCTGTCACTGAGTGGTTTCAACCAGAGCTGACCTTGCCCTCCAGGCTGGGGACATTTGGCAGTGTCTGGAGACAGGTTTGTTGTCACAAATGAGGGCGAGTGTTACTGGAGGCCAGAATTGCTACTAAACATCTTACACTGTGCAAGACAGCTCCTGGCACAAAATATCTGGTTTTACCTTCAGACACATTGTTTTCAACTAAATCTAACACATGACGGACTATAAATGTGTTAGAAGATAAGCCATCAGCACGTGAAAGATGAAATTGATTCACTGAAGGAAAACATGCCAAATTGTGAGAGGCCTATTCAAACTGAAGCATCCAGGAGGGACAGGGGAAGAGCTGACACCCTGTGGGGACAGGCTGAGGGCAGAGCCAGGGCGAGGACGCTCTGGGGGTTTTTGTCTCATTTCCCCATGGTCTGGAGCACTGTGTGATTGTAGCTGTCATCATAAGACTGACAGTAGTAGTCGGCCTCGTCCTCAGACTGCAGCCCCGAGATGGTCAGGGAGGCAGAGTTGGAGGAGCTGTCGATGGAGCCAGAGAACCGATCGGGGACTCCGGAGGGTCGTTCGTTATCTTCGTAGATCACAGTGGAGGGGGCACTGCCCGGGCGCTGCTGGTACCAGTGCACATAGTAGCTCCCAATGTTGCCACTGCTGCGGGTGCAGGAGAGGGTGACCTTCTGCCCTGGAGACCCCGACACAGAGCTGGGCTGAGTCAGGACAAGGTTGGCCAAAGACCCTGCAAAGAGAGAGGGACACAGAGGTCAGTAAGAACAGATCAGACCCTGTTTCCAAAGAGGAGGGAGAGATCCTCACTCCAGGTGACATCGGGGAGCCCTCCCTGAGTTCCCTGCTGGCAGCCACCTGTGCAGTGAGCAAGAAGGGTGAGGAGCAGCGCGGCCCAGGCCATGGTGGGGACACCCCAGGCTCTGCTTCCTGAGCTGACAGCCAGGACTGAGCCCACCAACCACCCTTATGTGTCTTTCTGACCTTCAGGGTGGGAGGTCTCCATGCAAATTTCTTCTTCCTGGAAGCTGCACCAGCCCCACCTTAGCCTTCACACTAGCTGTGGCTGAGAGGTGCAGACACTGTGCCAGGGGAGGGTACACCCCACGGAGGGCACAGGGACACATGCAGGTGGGGCAGAGGACACAGCTGAGGCCCTGGGGAGCCTGGGCAGGTGCTGAGACCCTGGCGCCCTCTGGTGGACGTGGGAGGTACAGCACCTGGGAAGGGGAGGTGCTCAGGCTCCTGCCCTCCCCGCCCCGCACCCCTCTCAATTCCAGCCACTGTCCCAGGGTCTCTGCTCAGCATCCTGTGCTCCCTTTGCATTTTAGCCTCCAAATCTGTCCCCATGGTCCCGTGCCACTACTGTGGTGAAGACACTCTGACTCTGTGTGTCACTGGAGGTGTGAATGTCGCAGGCAGAATGGGCTGAGTGTGGAAGGACAGGGGTGAGGCTCTGCCTTCTCCAGGGGGACCACGTGACCGGGGCTGGAGCACGTGACTGAGAGGACTGACACAGAGGGGAGCACTCTATCAGGGACCAGGTTCTCCACCAGAGACACGGTGGAGCTTTCATTGACAAAGTTGATGACATAAAAATATAATTTTCATAAACGTTTCTATGCACCTTACACAGTGGGATTATCTGGAGTTGGGAAGACAGACTCAGTTCAACATCACTTGTTCATGATTTTCAATGCACATTACACCTGGATTTGCCATGATTTCCCCAAAAATAATATGTATAAGTTTACTCCAAGATGTCTTCCCATATATTAATATCTATGGCTTTACTCCAATATATTTATAATTTTATTTAATAGATTCATCTGCTCCTTTAATAAATGGTTTTCAATTGTGTTTTACATGTCTGTAGAAAGCATTGAGTACGTACCTTACGCCATGGTCTCAGGATGGAAAGGTGCATAAGTTCTCAAGTAAAGGAAGGATATTGACAACACGGGTGAACGTCTAGAATACCATACATTGTATACATATGTGAGGACATATGCAAAGATGAAAGTGCATGGATTTATTCCAGAGTGATTTTATGCTCAGAAGAAATGGGGCATCTAGGTGAACGCTCGGGTGTGAGGGTGGCCATGGGTCACATGTGTGCCTGCCGCCCTCCAACCTCCCTGGATGAGGGAGGAGAGAAATAAGGACACTTGGGAGACACTTGGCATCCCCATGACACCGGTTCCCGTGGGAGGCTCCTTCTCTGTGTGCGGGGACGTCCAGCCCGTGTCTGCTCCACGGAGGAGAGCCAGCCTCCGCCTTCCGTCCCGGACACAGTCCGTGTGGCGCTGAGGCTGCCATGAGGGGAGAAGCAAAGGCAGAAAAGGGGAGGAGGTGTGTTCAGAGGGGCGTGCAGGGATGTGGTCCTGGCAGGTCTGCGCCTGGGGACCCTGACCAAGGACAGCGGCTCCTCGCCAGGCCCCAGGGGAAGTCAGGACACTCCTCCTGTGCCTGAGAGTGACAGTCTGTAAGGGCTGGGAGGAGCCGTTGAATGACCCTGAGGGACAAGAGCTCAGAGGTTTGGTGCTGAATGGGGAGGCAGAAAAGGCCACATGGGGAGGAGCAGGGGAGGGAGGAGCACCCGTGGCAGAGTGGAACCACCATGGGGTCTGCACACAGAGCCCTGCCCTCCAGGGGCCGCAGGGACCTGCAGAAGGGGTGGGATGATGGCAGGTGTGAGGCGGCTACAGACACAGAAAACCTGTGGGAACATCGACCAGTCACAGCACAGTCCCATATCAGCTCAGAGGGGCCTGTGGGCTCACATGCTGCCATCTGTCACCTACACTGTGACTTCCAGTGGGGGACAGTCCCACACCCTTCATCCTCCCAGGACAACCAATCATCCCCTTCCCATCAAAGCACCCCTGTGCCCTCCTGTCCTCCCTGGTGCTCTGGTCACTCTGGGCAGGGACCTGCCTGTGCTGACTGACGCTGCTGCTGCTGCTCAGGTCTCCACAGTGGGAGCAGGTGGCCTCTCAGGACCCCGCCCGGGCTGGGGAGGGGAGGGGGTCACCTCACTGGTAGTGGGGACAGAAACCTGCCTGTGAGCTGCCCTTGCATAGCTCACCTTGTTGTCATCTGAGTGTATACGATATGGGAGTGTCCATTCTGCCCTGTGGGGACAACCAGCACCGCCTGCTGGGCTCCACACTGTCGACAGGGGACCCCTGAGTCTGTCTGTCCTGCTTGGTGGTTGGAGTCACCTTGTGCAAGTGTGACCCTGCCATGCTCCTCTCCAACCCCTGGTGTGACTTTGGCTTGACAGAGGACCCCCTTGGGTGGAAAAGGAAGAGATGGCCTGAGTCTCCCACGGGCTGAGGGAAGCCCAGGCACCGAGTGTCTCCGTGGCTAGATCTGTCCCCCCTGCAGGAGAGTCACACATGTGTGGGGTCATCACACCTAGTCCCACAAGAGGAGGCTCAGCCATTTGTCCAGGAGGACTCAATGGGCTCCCCCCACTCTCTCACATCAGACCCGCAGCGCCCCCTGCTGGCCACAGCCTCGCACGCTCTGCGCATGTGCACTGCACAGCTGAGCCCTCCTGGCAGATGAACCTGCTTCTGGCCCTTTGCTCACCTGGGAAAGGTAGTGGGGTGCGCTGGAGCGTTTGCTCCCCAGGGACCCTCGTGTGGGGTCACCATGGACTGCAGGGATGCACGGGTGGCCTTCTGCACCCCAACCCTTGCACTCACCACCCCCTGCAGGGACACCGTGACCCCGCGGTGGCAAGTCATGGTTTCTACTAGCAATTAGGCTTTCCACACACTCTGCTCACACCTTCAAAATGTCCGTCTTTATTGAATTTGTGTGTGATTACCTGATTTTGAGTGTGCCAGCCTTTCCTGCAGGACATGTAACTAACACTCCCAATCATGTTTGGATCACAGACAGATTAATTTGTGCATATAAACTAACTGTAGCATGCAAGAGTCATAACTGTCAACACACTTGTTTCCACTGGAAAGATTCTGTGTCCTGAGGAAGGAACAGCTGTCCACACACAGGTGACAAGACTCAGGATGTCCTATTACCACGGTGCTGACGTCCTCCAAGTGATCGAGGTTCCATGGAAGGGCTGCGCCTCTCACATCGGGGCATAATGGCCGAAGTTTCCCCACAGATTCTGCCACGAGCAGTGAGGGCCCAGCGACCTCCTGGGCTGGTCCTCGGGCTCCGACCCTGATGTCAGCTGGAAAGGGACAACTTTACTTGTTTTCTTGTCTAGAGACAGGTCAGCTCTAGACTCTCCGGATTTAGGACACTTGAATAAACAGCCAACAGTTCAAAGTCATCAGGAGGATTGATTTTTCCATTTCTGAGAATTTAGAAATATTAAATGGAAAATTGACAGTAGAGTCTTTTTGAAACTGAAAGTGTTTGCAAGATGAACGCGCCTTTATCACAGTTATCTTAAAATTTGAAAATTATCATCAGATGAGACCCTGCACAGGCTGGGGTTTTCGTCCCACTTCCCCATCCGCCTGTGTCACTGTGACAAGCACTGTTGTGCCACACGGCACAGTAATAGTCAGCCTCGTCCTCAGGCTGCAGCCCAGAGACGTGCAGAATCCCTGCGTTGGCCGAGGCGTCTTTGGAGCCAGAGAAGCGGCTGGGGACCCCGGAGCCCTGGTGCTTATCCGAGTCTGAGTAGTATCTCAGGAGATAGGGGGGCGGGCTCCCTGGCTTCTGCTGGTACCAGTACATGTTTTTACCACCAACACTGATGTCACTTCTCAAGGTGCAGGTGAGTCTGGCTGATGCCCCAGGAGATGCAGAGAGGGAGGGCGGCTGAATCACCACAGGCTGGGACAGGGAACCTGCAAACAGACACACATGGATATGGGGCCGTGATCAGGGTTAAGCCTGGACTTAAGCCAGAAGAGACAGAGTGGACTTGGGGCTGCCCTGAGTCTCCCAGGCCTGTCCCAACCTGTGCAGTGAGAGAGGAACACGAGCAGGAGAGGAGCCCAGGCCATGGTGCACACAGCCCCTGGTCCCCACAGTGGGGCTGGGCTGCCCAGGCCTCCTTTTGTCCCCACCCTCTGCAGAGGAGGGGCTGCTCATGCAAACGTGTTTCCATCCAGGGACTGCCCAGCCCCTCCCTGAGCCCTGGGCTGGAGCTCAGCTCTCACTGCACACTGAGGAGGGGGCTTTGCTTTGCCCCTTGGGGGAGCCCTGGGAGGAAGCAGCTGCTGGGACCATACAAAGGGCCCTGCTCAGGGGACTGTGCCAGGCCAGAGAGGACACAGCTGCTGAGTCCCCATCAGTGAGCACAGGGCCCAACCCCCAGACCAAGGCTCCTTGGAGTGACTGGTCCTCCCTGAGCAGCTGTGTAGGGACCACAGGGCAGTCCCCCAGCGCCCCCTGCTGGTCCCAGGCACACACCTCCCCATGGCCCAGAGACCTGAGAGCCCAGCTGGTCTCTGCAGCTCCCCAGTCACTGTCTCTGGTCACACACCCATGGGCTGAGTCCCTGGTGGAGTGACCCCAGTACACTGTGAGTGATCACTGGGGTTTCTCACTCCCAGAAGGGACCCTGCACTATGAGAGGTGCGACCATGTGCATATATAACTGTTTACCATGAAGCACCCCAGAGTCCACTCTAGAAAATCCTAAATGACCCTCATGTGCCATCATGGTAAGCATCACAAGTGCTAGAACATCTTAGCTGGTTTGTATGGCATGAATGTGTGTTGAGGGTGATGGTGTAGAAGAGAAATGTTCAAGGAACTGGCTCAGTGACATGCTTAAAATTCAGCAATACAGAGCACTATTCAACAGTGACACTTTTTAAAATGTTGATACTGACTAGACTTGATATGTGAAAAATTAGTAGTTGGGCACTTAACATTTAATAGTTTATAGTGCAACACATTTTTTAATTTTGTGAAGTGAGATTTATCTTCCTAATTTGTATTTTCTGTTTATCTGTGTATTATATTTCATACCAGTAGTTTGTGTGTATTTTTTTTTCTTTTTTTATAAAGGATTTTCTGCTTATCCTTCTACCTACCAATATTTTTTTATAGATTTCCTAAATATAACTTCCCTATTTGTATTTTTTTATTTATAGTTTCCTAGGAAAATATGTGTGACATTTTAATGTTTCTGCAGAAACGTTGACTGCGTGGACAGGTGAATACAGAGACCGTCCCTTCCTCACTGCGTCCCGGGTGCGAATCTGCTTTAACTGTGTGAATATCCCCAGATCCTGGACTCAGAGGCTCTTTCCGTAACTGAGCTATGAGCAGGATCCCCTGCTGCCCGCTGGCCTCTCCATGAAGCCATCCAGACAGATCCCTCCCATTTAGGTCCAGCAGGTCACCCTTTGATTAAACTGCATCAGTGACTCCCCAGGGCTGTTTGCATGAACCCCACAGTCCTCACCCCTCAGCCCCTTCCTGGTCTGGCCCCCCCAGCCCACAGCCCTGCAGCCCCTCCCCTGGCTCTGGGGCTCCAGCCACACCCACTGCTCTGTCCTGGGCCCCCCTGAGCTCCTGCACCTGCCATGGCTGCAGCAGCCCCTGCCCTGTCTGTGTGGAGAGACGGGCTCCAGCGGGAGGTCAGGGTGGGAGCCAATACTTAGGGAATTTGGAGAATTTACTAAAGTTAGGACATATAATCTTCATCACAGATATGAATGCAGATTTGGTGTTCCATATTTGCCATTGTGGACATTTTGGAAGTTACACAGATCTATTCCCCAGTGAGTTCCCTGCATCTGTCATCCAACCTCAGCTATCTTCAATATGATTCATCTTGTTTGAATTTCTACCCTCTGTCATGGCTGAAGTATATTATAGCAAATCCAAATATTATATCACTTATTAAACTCTCCTCTCTCTCTCTGTCTCTCTCTCTATATATATATATTTATGTTATATATTAAATTAATATATATATGTTATTTAATATATGTTATATATTAAATTAATATATATATTAAATGTCTCTATTTATATATATATATAAATGTTTAAATTTCTATAACTGTTGTACATTAAGGAAATAGATTCTAACTGCTCTCACATAATATGATTTCTATTTTACTCACTAAAATAGAGTTCTCAGCTTATTTGTTGTTCTGACTGAGAGAATATAGGACATGGAATGGATCCTGTCTCACAGCTGTGAGGTTAGTGCAATGACATATTAGATTTGAATTAAGTACAGACTGGCACATAAGTTCTTTCAAAATCATTTATTGACTTCTTTCACCCACTTTTCCCAGTGCATAAGTCTCTCATCTGTGCTCAAAACCCATCATTCTAACTTCATGAGTTTTCCCCTCCAGTCTTTTGTAGGATTTTGAGATGAGGATTTGGGTATTAGCATCTCCTTGAGCAAATGGTAGATCTGAAAATTTTTCTCTAATCCCCATTGGCAGATGATCACACTGCAGGCTCTAAGTTAAGTTAAATACCGGCAGTATGATTTCAATGTCCTGCTTTTACTTGCGCCATAATTGTCTTTCCAGGTTGCCAGCAAGAAACGTGGGAGTCATCCTAGTCGCATCCACACCCCTCCCATGCAACATGCAAGCAACCGCTGGTGCCTTCTGCAACCTGACCCTGCTCTCTCCTCTCCATCCCACTCTAACTGACCTTGATTTACCCCAGCATCTCCCCAGCCTGGCACCAGCCGCCCCATCCTGTTTTCTGCCCCAGGTCTCGTTCCCTCTGACTCTCCTTGCAGAGTCGCTGCCCAAATGCCCAGGTGACTCCTGTCTGCAATCGCAGTCCTCCAGCGACGCTCCTGCCCTTCTCAGGGGGGTCACCATGATGGTCCTCCTCGACCTGCCTCCAGCCCTGCGGCCTCCCTTCAAGGAGCTCCCCCTGGACGTGTCCCTGCCCCAGTGACCCAGTGTTCAGGTCAGGGATAACTCTTCTCAGTTGCTCCAATGACCGATGTCTCTTTCTGTGGATGTCACCTCTGATTGGAACATTTGGACCCCACCCTCCACCCACCTCCCTCCTGCTGATGCAGCCGCTGCCCTGCGATCAGGCCTCTTTGGCCCAACTCCCCCCCACCCTCACCCACACACCACGCGGACCCTTCCCCGCGGGGGTCTCCGGTTCCCCTCGTCTCCACTCTCTCACTCCTCTCAGTGGCTGGTGAGAAGGAACTGAGTTAGACCTTTCAGGGCACAGTTAGATCTTTAAGTTAAGATCTTTAGGACTGAGATTTAGTTTTGTTTCTAATTGGGAAAATATTCATAATTCCATCAGATGAAAATCACTTGCACAATGTCCTGGGGCCTCTAAACTTATTCTCTGCTTGGAGACCTCCAGCCCTCTCCACCTCAGCACACAGCACAGCGCCCCCTGCTGACCCATGGCCACAGTCCCTCGGGGCCTATGACCCCTGAGGACTGTGGTACTGGATCCAGGACTGTGCTGATCACCTTCGATCCTCCTGTTTAGGGGGCCGTAATTGGGGCCACACAGAAGACAGAAGGGACCATTCTTTGTCCTCCAGGAGGGATCTTATCAAAACACTCTTGTTGGAGAAAGGAGAAATCTTCAAGTGATGGGACAGAGGGCACGACAAACACAAGTTATTTAAACAGAGTAGCCCTCTTGACTCTCCGGGACGAGGCCTAAGGTTTGAGGCAAGAGACAACAGAAACTAAATGTGCAACCACACCACCGGCTCTTTAGGGACCCATGGTGGCCCATAGGATGGAGTGGGGAGTCCAGGTGCAAGGAGGACACTCCCATCTACGGCCAGCCCTACCCTTCTTCTACAAGTCTCTCACACACCTTGGAATTTGGGGAACTTTTGAGGCCGGGTTTCCTGAGAGCTGACCACCTGCCAGTGCACATCCGCCTAAGCCAGAGGGGCTGGCAGTGGGGGGCTACTGTGGGTGCAGAGCTTGGCTTATGATCCCAACCTCCCGCACTTTCTGCCCTGCCCACAGCCTGCCCCAGCCTCCAGGCCTTTGCACCTGCTGGTCCCTCTGCTGGGATGTCCCCACCCCACACCAGCGTGGCTCCCTCCACCTCTTCTGCAGTGTAATTTTTGTCTAGTCGTATTTTCCCTTTTGAGTGTCCTGTTTATACTGTTGGGTTCATTCTACTCTTACTGTTGTTGATTTCCATATTTTTTATGTGTGCTAGGTGTCACTCACGCCATCACAGGGCAATAATTGTTTATTGTTCTGCTGTGTCTTGAAAATTTTTCCCCTAGTACTGTGCTTTGAATGCTAACTAATCTGGTTTTTTTGAATATGTTTATTTGTTTTGGTGTTTTCAGCGACATAAACTCCAACTGTGAAGTAACGTAAATATTCTCAAATATTTACTGTTAGGACCTAATGATGATTTCTCTCGTTAGATTTTTTTAAGACTTTATTTTACACAAATTTTAGGTTTATAGAAAAACCCATCATAAAGTACAGAGAGAGCTCATGTACCCCTCGCATCCACCCCCAAGCTCCCCTGTTTTTATATCTTCCATTGTTGTCGTACATTTGATAAAATTGTATAAATCAATATTGACAAACTAAAGCCGATGCATCATCATGAAGTTATGTCTATGGTTTATGTCAGGGTCCAATTCTTGCGTGGTGTCGTTGTATTTGTTTTGCCCGATGCATACTGTCACCTACCCACCCTACGACAGCGTGCTGGACAGCGTCACTGCCCTCAGAGTCTCCTGTGCTCCGCCTGTTGATCCTCCCTTCCCTACCCCACCTCCTGGGGAGCACTGGTCCTTTTACCATCTCTGTATTTTTTACTTTTCCAGAACATCTTATTGCTGCAATTATACAGTGTGCGCCCTGTTCATCTTGCCTTCCTTCTCTCAGCAGAATACATTTCAGTCCCCTCCACGCCTTCTGTGGCCCAATATCGCATTTATTTTTAATCACTGAATAATATTCCATTGTAGGATATGTCAAACTCTGCATGCCTGTAAACCTATCGAAAAACATTTGGTTGCTGACACGTTTTAGAAATTATTAGCAAAGCTGCTATAAACATATATGTGAAACTTTTTGTGTGGACATGTTTTCAACTGGTTTGGGTGAATACCTAATGCCATTGCTGGATTAAATGTAAGAATATGTTGAACATCTCAAGCGTCACCCGGGCCGCATTGTAAAGCGGCTGTAGCATTTTGGATTCTCGCAGACAAGGAAGAAGAGTTATTCTACGGCTGGTTTAGCATCATCACTAGGTTAGCAC